GGCCTCCCTCCACGTGGCCGCCGCCTTTCCCTGGAAGGGATGGGTCGCTGGTTTTCCTCTCCGGCTTGGCCTCTGCTGTGCTTCCTCGGTTCTGGGAACTCACATTTCCTTTGTCTTTCTGTTTTAATGCTGCTTTTTCGTCAGATTATCGTAAGGGTAACACACGTTCGTCTTAGAGCGTTATCACGGGGCGGCAGAGGATGGAGAAGAGAATGGGCACAGCAATCCGGGGGGGCAGGCCCTCGGCGTCTCCCGCGCACGGTTGCAGCCACTTGACATGGTCGCAGGCGCTGTCCTTTGACAGGAGCTCATAGGACAAGAGATGTGAGGGCCGCGCAGCGATCTGAGTGCCGCCCTCGCCGCAGGAAGCGCGGTCTGTTCCAGGTGACTCAGGGGCCCACTTCCTAGGAAGGGACTCGCTGGGTCAAAGGGCGTGCAAAGTAAACATTTAGGGAAATATTAACAAAGTAAGTGTAATAGCCATACACGGAGAACTTCAAAACAAGGTTTTTTAAAAGATCCGAATAAATGAAGAAATATACCATGGACTAATTTGGAAAACTCGATATTCCTGAGCTGGCGATTCTACTCACATTGATCTATAGATTCAAATGCAACCCTTATAAAAATTCAAGCAGGGTTGTTTTTGTAGGAATTAGCAAATTAATATGTATGGTGTCAGATGGGTGCTAGACTTATCGGGGTGATCACTTCATAAGTTATATAAAAGTCTAATTACTTTGTCGTGTATCTGAGATTAACATAATGTATATCAACTGTAATTGAAAGAAATTAATTGTGTTTTTTTTAAAGAAAGAAATTAGCAAATTAATCCTAAAATGCACTGCACATAAAAATGGAAAAGACCTAGAGTAGCCAATATAACTTTGGGGGAAAAATTGAAGGATCCACATTACCTTATTTCAAAATTTACTATAAATAACAGTAATGAAGAAAGTGTGATATTGGTATAAGGACAGACATATTGATCAATGGAACAGAATAAAGACCACAGAAATATATATACAGTGGGGCCTTGACTTATGAGTTTAATTCGTTCTGAGACCGAGCTGGTTAAGGAGCTCGTTAAGGAGTTCGTTAACTCAAATTACCCTATCAACTCAATGCAAAAAATCGGCGGTGAGACAGCTGGTATCTCAAAAAACTCGTTAGTCAGGACGCTCTTAAGTCAAGGCCCCACTGTATTTTTTATAAAAGGACTCAATGCATATGGACAGACGGCTTTCCAAAAAGGTTGTTCAGTTGAAGCTCCCGCCAAGGGTGGCGGGGTCATGGCAGCTGTAGGACCCATCACAACACTTGAGATGGACCAAGGAGGCTCAGGCAGCTGCAGGGAGCGGCGGGGGGCCCAGCACCCTCCAACCGCCTGTCCTCCTGGGCAGTCAGGCCTAGCCGTGCTCCAGGTGAAGGATGTGAAACTCAGGCCGGATGTGCCCCGGGCAAGGTTGCCCTCCTGTTCTTGGAGCCAGGGTCGTCCTGACCCCTCACTGCCCCTCATCCCTCATGCCCAGTCTGTCTGCAATGCTGTTAGGTTACCTTCCAAACACATCTCAGATGTGACCACTCCCGACCACTGCCCTGGCCCATCTCTGCCTGGGTGACTCAGCAGTCCTCGTTATCTCCCCCCAGTCTTTGCCCCATGAGAGTCTGTCCTCCCCAGTAGGCGGAGAGATCTTTTTAAAACAGGTCAAATCAGGGTGGTCCCCAGCTCAGAGCCCTCCAGTGGCTCCCATCTCACTCTGAGTAAAAGCAAGGACTTACCATGTATGACCTACGAGGCTGTTAGGGTATGTGCCTCCCCTATTACCTCCCTGACCTCACTTTCTACCACTCCCTCCCTCACCTCCTCAGCTCCCTGATGCTCCTCAGATCATCCAAGCACATGCCTGCCACCGCCTCGTCTGCTCAAATGTCATCTCAGAACAACCCCAAGCAAATAGGATTTTTTTTCTACCTTTGCCATGATGTATCTCAGTCACTATCTCAACTGCCCACCTCCCTCAGCCCTCAGGCCTTGGAATCCATGTGGCATGTGACTTTGCCTCATGTCTGTAGCCCCAGGTCCAAGCTCAGGGCCTGAAACAGAGCAGACGCTCCAGACGAGGTTGGTGGACTGAACGAACGAATGAACAGGCTGGGATGAAACAGGACCTATTTTGGAAGGTACTCCTGACCACTCTAAGATAGCACCTTGGCCATCTTCATTCCCTTCCCCTGAGTCACATATGTCATTACTGTCTGCTTTCCCGCTGGAAGAAAGCCTCCATGAGGGCCATACTCTGCCTACGGTGTTCATTGCTGTACCCCCAGCACCTGACGTACTGCCTGGCGCACAGTAGGTGCTCATTGAAGCTGTTGAATGGATAATTGAACGAAAGGTGTCACCATCTGGGTGTGTGGTTTCTCCTCTAGACTGTACCTGTCGCCAGCTTGTGGACAGCACCCAGCACATAGCCAGTACTCATCTAGTGTATGAATATATGATGGGGGGCAGGAGTGGGGGGGGGATGTGTGGGAGGCAGGGCCCGAGAGACCACTGATGCTGAGACTGGAGTTCCAGATGAACCCCTGGGCCATTCTCAATCATCGAGGCCTGGGGCTAGTCACTTCACCTCCTTGAACCTTGGTTTTGTCATCCATAAAATGGGCATGATGACACCTGTGCTGCCTGCATTACAGGGCTGTGTGAGGATTAAATGACAGATATAGGTCAGCAAAGCGCAAAGGCAGCCCTGCTCAAGCTGCAGCTTCGCTCTGAGGGCCCCCCTCCCCAACTCGCTCCTCCAAGCACCTCTAGACTGTGTGCCCTCGAGTGCGAGGCCAGGCCTCTTCATCTCTGCATCCATCCGTCGGGCACTGTGCCTGGAAGCTGGGCAGTGCCCCTTGGGCATCTGATGACTGATCAACAAATACATGTGTTGACACCTATAGCCAGTTACCCTGACACGAATAAATCAGGTGGGAAGTTCAGAGCCTGACTGAGGGCTGGGGTGAGGCCACCCAGCTGGGGCTCTGGGTTCTGGGGCAGAGGACCTGCTGGGGCCTCGAGTGCGCCACCTGGGAGACAGGGAAGGAGGAATGAGGGACCGGCCTGCTCCCCCTGGGATGGCACCTGGCAGCCTCCTCCCCAACATTGCCACAGTGGCCACATTCTGGGCTGCAGGGCGGAGGCCTGGCTACCCACCTGCATTCCTCGCTGGTCTGCCCATGACCTCATCCCAGCCGGCAGCTGCCCACGGGCGAGGCTTCACCCCACTCTGCAGATGAGGACACGGAGGCTGGCGGAAATGATGCCCGGTCCCATGGCCTCGGGCACCCCAGAGGGAGGTGGCATGTGGTCATGGAGGTCACTTCTTGCTGCCCATCGGGCTTAAACACCCCATTGATCCTCTCCTTACCCTTCATAAACTCTGGTCGGCTGGTAGGCTGACTCCCTAGGGCTGCCCGAGGTGCCCTGGGCTTGCCAGGCTAGGCTGCCTGCCCCTTCCCCCCCCCGCCCCCCCAGGCTCCGTGACCCAGCAGGGCTAGCTGACAGACAGGCCCTGCCGGGAGGGGCGTGGGACAAAGTGAGCGAAACTCCTTTTAGGAAGGAACTCCTGTCAGAGCCAAGGCTGAGAAACCAGCCTCTTGCCAAGACCTGGGGTGGGGAGCCCAGGTGAGGCGACTCAGCCCTCAAGAATGGGTGGGGTCCTGAGGGGAGGCTTGCACTTCCTCCCGCCCCAGCCCAGGGTCCTGTTCAATCCTTGCCGAGGAGTTTCCTGGCGACAGGCAGTGACCTGTCGGCCGCCCGTGTGGGAAGCAGCTTGGCGTGGCCCTCACCACCTCGTTAGGGTGACTCACCCCGGACTCACCTGGCTGTCAGGGACCTGTCCCACTCCCCCCAGAACCAGCTCCGCCGGCACCCGGAGGGGTAGGGGACTCTGTTCTCCAGCTCCCCATCCTCCCTGGCACCCAGGGCAGAGCCTGCCTGGCACACAGGCAGCAATCAGAATTCATTCATTCATATTTGTTCGCTCATAGTTATTGAGCACCTACTGTATGCCAGACACTGTGCTAGATGCGAGGGATACAAGGCGAGCCAGGCAAACCCAAAACCCTGCCCTCCTGGAATGCACATCCTCACCGGGAAAGTCCGACTGTACACAAATCAGTGAATCATACAAGCTCTCCAAGAGAAAAATAGAGCAAGAAAGTGTGGGATAAAGGTTGCAATTTTTAATAGGGTGTTTGCGTGGCCCTCTCCGAGGTGATATTTGAGCAAAGTCTGATGAAGATGAAGATGAAGATGAAGAGGGAGCTGTGCAGAGAAGGGAGGGGAGAGGCGTACCAGGAGCAGCAAGTGCAAAGGCCCTGGTGTGGGAGTGCAGGGGGCAGGTATTCCCAGACCAGGGAGGAGGCCCTCAGAGCAGGGGCAGAGCGGCTAGGGGAGCGCAGTGGGCAGTGGGAAGATAGGGCAGAAGAGGCGGGAGTAGTCTAGAGTCTGTGCAGGGTCTTAAAGGCCTTTGTAAGAACTTTGCCTTTTACTCAGCTGAATTTTGTCAAAATGCTCCCAAATCCCCCTGTTGTACCCCAGACCAGTCCCCCAGACTTCTTCTGCCTGTCTCGGAGCTCAGAGAGCTGAGTCAAGGGTCAGGGGTGATTTCCCTGGGAAGGGTCTGGAAGGATGAGTGGGGTTGCCACCTGTGGAGAATGCATGAGGAGGAAGGTGCCTGTTGGGGAAAAAGTACCCACCCTACAGGGATGAGTGGAGAGAGGAAAAGAAGGGAGCAGAGGCTGGAAAAGGAAGGTGAGCCCAGTAAGAGGGCGTCTTGCCCAGCTCTCTCCCGCCCCCAAGCCTGTCTTCCCAGACTCGTCTGGGACACATCCCACCCGACACCCTGCTCCAACCTCTCTCAGCTCTGGGCCTCTGCACATGCTCTCCCCTCTGCCGGGATTCTCTGCTGCTCTCTGCCTGTGAGCTCCCACTCCTCCTCGCCAAGTGGTCTCTGAGTCTGCAGAGCGGAACTCCTGCCACTGCCCAGCACGCCCCACTGCAGCACACCCCACTGCAGCACGCCCCACTGCAGCACACCCCACTGCAGCACGCCCCACTGCAGCACGCCCCACTGCAGCACGCCCCACTGCAGCATGCCCCTCTGAGGGATCTCATTCTCCTTGAGACCATGGCTGTGGAGACCGTGGCCGTGGAGACCGTGGCCGTGGAGACCGTGGCTGTGGAGACCGTGGCTGTGGACCACGCTGGCTTTGCTCACCTTCACGTCCTCAGAGCCTGACACGGAGCAGGTGCTGACCCAGGCAAGTGCGTGCACAAACGCTCGCTAGAACTCGGACGCCTCAGAGGGTCTGGAGCAGAGTAACAAGATCAGACTCACATGTGGGGAAGGTGACTGTCACTCAGGGCATGTTGGGGCTGGGGCAGCTGGAGGAGGGGAACTGCCCAGAGGCCGCTGTAATCGCCCAGGCAGGGGCCAGAGAGGAGTGAGGAAGGGCAGAACCAGGGTGCCAGCGGCTGGGAGTGAGGGCGAAACATCCACAGGACATCCTCCTGGGCCTGGGCGCAGCGAGGAGGCGGGAGTGGAGGGCAAGGTCCAACTTTCCCTCTTTTATTTCGTGTCCTTCCTTCTGCCCTGACCCTGGACAGAGATCACTCGCTCAGACAAGATCGCGCAGTGGTGACAAGCATGAGCCTTTGGGGCCCGACTCTGGGTTCAGATCCCGTTTCGACCACATGTGCTGTGTGACATCAGGTGGTTTCCTCAGCCTCTGGGCCTCGGTTTACCCACCCGTAAGACAAGGATGACAAGTGAGGATTAGTTGCTGCATTTTATGATTCAAAGAGTCCCATTTTCACAGTTCTGCCATCCGGGTGAATCTTAGAACCAATCGCATGACTCGCACTCTTTAGTGGCACATACATCATGGTGAATCTGAAGACCCGGGAGCCTTAGGATTGATGAGACACAAGGTACATGGAGAAAGCAGTCCCTGGCCCATCATGAGGGCTGAACAAATGTTAGCTACTGCGATTCTGTCCGTATTTGCTCTCTGAGCACTTCGGTAACCAATGCCCCATCAGAATAAAGAGGTAATTATACTTTGGAGCTAAAACAGAAAAGGAGCTAACTCATAAATAGAGATAAAGGTGAAAACATTTTAGTAATCCTCCCTCTCCCTCTTCCCGCCCCC